ACTCTTCTGTACGTTGTAGAATGCAGACTAAAACTAAATTTATTCAGCTGATTACATTTTGCATTGAGTAGTCTATGTGCATAAAGATAGAGGCTCTCAAAAGTTACCCCTACTGAAAATGAGTAGCACTGATGTGCTACAGTGGTTTGGCTGTGTCTTCTTATGCCAGTATGAACAACTCTTGGAGCTAAATGGAAATCAACCAGAAGTTTTGGAGGTTGGTAATTTTCCCTTTATTCTGAGACCCACTCAGGAAAGGTGTATCTATACCAATATAAACAATTAATATTCTTCATACCCTTTAGGATAAGTAAATAAAGGATACGAGGTCATTATTCAAAACATCTGATAACTTCCTGTGGCTTTTCAAAGAGGTCCAGCATCAAAAGATAACAAATGACTTGCAATGAGGCTGCAGTATCTTCAATAGCAGGACAGAATGTGGTTTCACTACTTATAGTCCCAGTTGTGTGTTTGAAACAGGCATTGCATAGTTAGCATGTTCCAGATATTGTACTTGCCCCTTTCAGGTACTTTTATCTTACTGGATTCTCACTACAGCCTTGAATTATACTAGACTAGAAAACTGAGGCTTAGGATAGGGTAAGACTTGCCTATGGCCATACAGCTATTGAATGACTGTGGGCATTTGAAACCAGGGCTACTGAGCCCAAATTTCGTTAGTCCATGGTGTCTCTCCACGTGTGATTAGTGTGTCATTAACATATTCTTTTCATGTGCTGTTTGCCTTTTGTTTTTCATTAGACACAGAACTATTCAATAAATTCTGTCTCATTGTTACTGTTTGGTCAAGTTGACTTATAGTCTTATACTGCTCCTCTTGCTGAGGAGCAAGAGAAAGGTAAGAATTTAGGAGGCTGGGGTTATGTAGGGACTATGAATAAGAAACAAATTGTACAAATTTCTAAGTCTATTTCTGAAAAAAGGGCATGACTTCAGTTTGGACCCTTCATCTAAATTTGAATCTTCTTCTTGTCATGATCAGTGTGACCACATATTTTCTTTTCTACTTTGCAGGGATTTCTTGTGACCCTCCTCCTCTTATCAAGAATGGACGGAATAGTTATCATTCTGGCCCCACACCTCTTAACACTGTGGTGAGGTACAGCTGTCAGGGTA